GTGTCGCGGGAAGGGGACGTGGCGGCCCTGCAGGAGCACCTGGAGCACGTTACGTTCTGCAGCGCCGAGCGGGAGCGCTGCCCCCACTGCCAGGGCCCCGCCGACCCGCTGCTGCTCAAGCTGCTGCGCCTGGCCCAGCTCTGCACCGAGTACCTGCTGCACTCCCAGGAGTACCTCAGCGCCCAGCTCGGCAACCTGGAGGAGGCCCTGCGGGCGGCCCAGGCCCAGCGCGACCAGCTGGGCAAGGAGGTGGCTCATCGCTCGCAGGAGATCAAGGGGCTGAAGGAGGAGTGCCGCCGGAGGAAGAAGATGATCAGCACCCAGCAGATGATGCTGGAGGCCCGAGCCAGCTACCACCAGGTGAGAGGAGAGGTGCTGGCAGCCCGGACACCCACACCTTGCCAGCTCTGAGCCTACTGGGGACGGGTGGCACAGCAGCCCCACTCTGCTGGGGTGCAGTCGCTTGCTGGGTGAAAAGCTGCAGATTTAGGGACCAGTGACCTTACAAAAAGGGAGTGCATTGCTTGCAGGTGCTTGGCTTCCTGTCTGTGTTTCACAGACATTTCACTGGTATCACAGACATTTGGGAGAGTGCTATATCGTCTTTAACAAATCCTCTTTTTACTAATAAGTGCTCCGTATTCTTGGATTTGCCTTTGACACATCTGAAGTGTCAGACACACACATATACAAAACCTGTGATAAACGTGCTACTGCTTTCTGTTGTTGTCTTTCCTTGTGTATCAGCTACATGGTCAGAAAACACCCAGGGCCAGTACATCAGAACCGGTGCTAAGCAGTAAGCTACCTGTTTGCGAGTCATCACCTTCCTGCTGTAATGTTCTCCAGGCACAAAGTTTCTACTTGTGTGTGTGACTCAGAAGCGACTCAGGCATGATGGTTAAGAGCCCCAGTGAGGTAGCTCATTCATGCCTCCACAACAATCTGTTCCACAAGGACCTTTCCTAAGACCCTTAGTACATTGCTTTTCTAACTCTCTGTGTCATTGCACTCTGTTTTTTAGGGGGGAGGATTTTTTGTATTCTGGGTGTAATAGTTTGATTTTAAATATTTTTCACCTTCAGCATTTTTCAGCAGGTTTCAAGAATGCAGACTGCAGCTTTGAATGTAGTGTGAAGTCTAGAGAGTGTGCTGGACACAGACTTGACATGATTTCAGGCTAGATCTTTGTGTCTACATGTTTATAGTTTTCTTCCTTTTTTTTTTTTAATTCTTGGGATACTAGCAGTCCTGATTGTTGAAATTCTCCTTAGTCATGGAATAGTTGCAGTACAGAACCAATGCAAATTCCCTTATAGTATGTACAATCTTATCGCACAATAGAATACCAATTTCAGCAGGCTGGCAAAGTTCAATTTTTTAAGACATCAGCTAAGTTGGTTCAAGTGTTTCTGTAGGGGAGAAGATATGTCCTTATGCCCCAAGAGTAGAGCTATACATATGGCAGACTTCATGGGAAGCTTATCTCAATTCATTCAAGTGTTAGTCTTAAGGACAAGCTGCTGATGTTGAACCATTTTAAAAAGCCTTCATGCAACTTAGAGAGCAGTTTTTCTGTCCTGTGTTGTAAAAGAAAACTGATTGCATGCATCATTTTATGTGTAAAGTTAAGTAATTCTTATACTGTGATCGCCAGTTAAATATTACCAAGTTTTCCTGAAATATTTGTAGGATACAACTGTCTCAGTGGTAGCTGAAGAACACGGTAGTGATCTGGGTGCATGACTAATCTTCTCTTCAGTGGCATTTACAATAAAGCAGCAACGGAAAGCTATTTCCCATTTTCAGTTTAATTTCATGTAAAGTAAACATTGGCCTTCCCTTATTTTTTCCTCTCTGTTCGTAAATTCTTGTCTCTAAGAGTTATTTAGGTTCACATGGGAAAAGTGAGTTCAGGGAGTGACATTGAACAGTTTCTGCAGATCCTACAGTGTCTTCAGGATTCTGAGTGTGAATGCCAGAGATAAATTAAACTCTTCCTAGGGTTTGTAAATGCAGGGCAGCAGTGTGATCAGTAAACAGTAATTGTGTGTTATTTATCTGTCCCATGATCTTGGCTGATCTGCAATGCAGGGTTTTGCTGGTTTTCCTGAGAGAGTAGTTCAGGTTTCATCCCCTTGAAGTCTTGGCTGTTTAACAAACAAGCCTGTAAATAGTTACTTGCCTTTTTTAGTGGAGGCACACTTTATATCTGATGTAACCATGCTTTGGAATTCAGATTTAATGCCTTTAACCCACCACCAATGTAAATTCAACCATGAAGTACTGCTATAAAATGGTACTGATACCTACAAGTCATAAATTTAAGACTTGTTGGTCAATACCTTTATGTGAGTAATACAAATTTAATTTTAAATCTATTTTTAATCTTGTTTTCTCATGCACAATGTAGGAATAAAGTGCACATAGTGTCTAACACTGTGCAAAGTAGTTGCAAGAACAATGATACATAATTCAAAATCTAAATATTCCCTGTGTTAATCCTGTCTCCTGCAGTAAGAGCTTTCTTTCACTACCAGCAAGTCAAACTGGCATGAAGTTTGTGCTTGACTGGATAACGTTATTTCACAGCCAATTTCATTCCATAAATCATGTTCAATCTGTTACACTGTGAACTCCCTCTTGGCTGGCAGCAAAGCTTTCCTGCCGTACTATATGTCTTTACTTTGGTTTTATGTTAGCACTTTTTTGCATTTGTCCAGTAAAATTTGTCTTCATTCCTGGCTTTAGTGTTTGTTGAAAGACATCTATATTTAATAGCCTACCTGACTATCAGTGAGAGTATTTTAAACATTAGATGAAATCTGGGAATTTGATGATGGTGACAAGGTCTTCAATCTGTTAAATCAGTCTCTTATAGTCATATCACACTGATGAGGAAAAAGGACTCAGCTGAGTATTTGTGGTTTGTTAAAAATATTTATTTGAAAAAAAAAAAGTATTTGTTTGAAAGAAAGAGGTAACAAGCAACACTACCTAAAGCTATTAGGGGCTTTGATTCACAGTCTTACCAGTATGTTGCAAAATCTGTAGATGTAGCTTCTGTCCTTGTACTATCCATCTGTTTTTGATATTCTGAACATTAGTGGAATGTGCTTTGAATGTGAACAAAAAAAATCTTTTAAAGTGGGTAGGATCCAAATTTGACTTATATATTAACTTAAAATTCAAATTAAAAAACAGTAAGTAATTTACAGGAACAGTAATTTAAACAGTTTACACTTCATAAGGATGCTAGGTAGCATACTAATATATGTATGTACCTTTTCTTGCAAAATTGTGTATTGTTACCTTATTTTGGTTGAAATGTATGACCTTTACATACCTGTGGTCCTTCTATTATTGCCATCTTACAACTCACTTATGTATGCTCAAACCCATCTTTATTGTTGTTTTCTTCTGACTGTACGGTGCTCTCTTTTGCTGTGATACAAAAGTCTTCGAATGCCTGAGCTGCTAGTTGGATGGAGTTGGTGTGTATTTTGCTGAGTAGTGTTGTCTTACTTTTTCCTTATACTTTTCCACCTATCTATATTAATCTTTTGTTTGTGGTTTATATCTGAATTTAAACTCATTTGATCGGAGTCTTTTTTGTTCTGAGTTTGTACAGTGTCTAGCACAATAGGATTCTTGCCCATGACCATCACTGAGAGACATTAAATAACACAAATATATTAATAACGTTACATGAATTACAGCAATTAACATCAATTCAGAATTGTAGTCATTGTTCTTGTGAAATGGAAATTATTAAATTTACCTACTTTTGACGTCTGGACAAAATGTTATAACCTGTTAAAAACCTTAACTGCTACATGTACCAAACAGATGTTATTAAGAATAACTAAAATGTTTTTATCTGTTTTTTGTAGTGTCAGTTTTGTGAAAAGGCTTTTATGAACTATTCCTTTTTACAAAGTCACATGCAAAGGCGTCATCCGGAAGAATCTCAGATTGGTATGTACTTTAATGTTATAAAAAAAAAAATAATTAACAAAAAATTGTATGCCGTATTTACAGTACCTTTTCAAAGTAGCATTCACACTGAGTACTTGATTCAGTAGCAGGGTTCAGAGCACAGTTTCTCTTTAGGCATGTATGTTATGAAGGTGTGGGTAAAACGAACAAGTTGCGCTAAGACAAATAGATTTTGTGAATACGTATGAATTATCAGTACAGAAATAATCCAGGTCACCTAAAATCAGTTTGAACAGGACCAGGCTCTCCTGAACTAAACTGGCTGTAAATTATAGTGAGAAAAAGAAACTGTCAAGAATAATCTAACTTCATGTATCTATGATAATCTTGGTTGCTATACCACTAACTTACATACTTTTGTCTCTCTTCATTGAAAAAAGTTTAGTTTGAAAAACATTGCTCTCAAACTTTGTTTCATTCATCTCTAACTTCTCTCCTTCCTGTTAGGCTGCATGCTTAGGATTTATTGCTAAGGACTGACAAGTATTGACAAGTGGCGGTGATTAGAAATGAGTTAGGAAAAAAGAGCATTTGGGAGGAGAAGAAGTGGGAAGAATCTAGCAAGGTCTGAACTGTAGCTTCTCAGGCAAATAAAACAGCAGGAAAAGTGAAAGGGGTCTGAGTAGGCACCTGAGGAAGCGTTAATGTATTGGAAGAAGAAAGACGCTCTTGTCCACTTTGTACTTGATAAAAATGATAGTGGAAGGAGCTGTGGAACCAGTTGAACTAATTATCATATAAAGAATTAGTCTGAAATGGCTGTATGAAGGAAATACTCCATGCAGTTATTTCTGAAATAATATTCTACATTGTGCTTAGATTCCCCGATGATGGGCAGCCTATTAAGTCCTGGGTAAATTGATAAAGTATTTCAAGATTAAAGATTGTTTTTGCATATTTGTAAAACGTTTTTTACAGTGACATTTCCCCTGGCTCATATTAGATAAATAATAAGTTGTGTTGCAAATGGACTCCTTACTAAAGTTATTTAGAATAAGTTAGACCTAACAGAATTGAATCGTTGAGGTACACTTTGTCCTTCAAACATCCATTTTTTGAGCCTGTGTTGCTTAGATTCCTTTGAAATTAGATTATATAGTACTTTTTTCTTGTAAATATTTTATAAACTATTTCACCTGCCAGTAATATTGATATTTTTCAATCTTTGAGGACATTAGCAATCCAGAGCACATACGTATTTAAAAGCGTCTTTGGAGACTCTTGATAATAGGAAGGGAAATGGTCTATGTGAATCACACTTCATGAAGATGTTATTAAAATACCGTCGAAACACATTTGCAGTAAGTATCACATTTCCAGAAATTACAACAAATGCTTTTAAAAACTGTGTTTCTTTGAAACAGAACAGAAGAGGAAAGCAAAGACAGACAAATTGCAGGATGAGATTGATAAGCTGAAGGAGCAGCTACAGCTCACCAAGACCCAGTTAGAAGCTGAACAACAGGCTAATATGGTCAGGTTTTCTAAGGTAATAAGTAGTAAGTAATGTGAACCTTTCAAAAGAATTAGTACTTTGGACTGTATTCACTCATTTTGTAACTGGAACAGAGCAAAAGCGTATCTACAGCTTGCCTCTCTGGCAGCAGTGGTGCTTGGGCATTAGAGCATAGCTCTCCCTTGCCTCCCATAATTTTGAACTTCCAATTTCTCCTCACTTTAATTTTAGACATATTTTAAATGACTATTTGAGACAACACTTCTGTTAGCAATTGCCAGTTCATACGATGTGTGGCTTGTTACTGAAGTAGATAAAATTGCCTTGCTTTGGTGAAATATAAGCTATTTTTGACATTATGATATTTTGTGATGATTAAGCTTTTCCTAGATATGACTGTAATTTTACATGTGACTTTATAAACTGAGTAGGATTTATTCTTTGCTGTGCAGATTTTACTGTCTAACAGAGGTGTAAAGCCGTTCAAGGAAGAGAGACTGAGAAGAAACAAAGCAATCTAGCATTTGTATGTTGGCCTTTAAATCCGTAGGATTTGGCTGACTGGAGAGCCAAAGCGGAAAGTAGTCTTGGCTACTGCTGTGTGAATAAAAAGACCTTAAACCAGAATGATTTAAAAGCAGTAATTATCTATTTTTAATCACATGCAAGGCTTTGTTTAGGGTGATACTGAATCTTGTAAGTACGCTTATTGGCTCATAAAGAGAAAAAAGAAAAGTTACCTGTTTAATTTTTTTTTTTTTTTTTTTGAAGCTTGATAATTTCAGATCATCTCAGTTTTCATTTCTGTTTAAGTAAATACAGTCAGATGATTTGCTATTGAAGTAGGGATGGAAAATTTTTTAATGGGGGAGGGGCTTTGCACTTCAATTTGAGGAGCAAATTCTTGGCTTAAGAGACAAGATATTTCCAATGATTGAGTTAAACGCTGATCTTTGTGTTGAGTTTGTCCTGTATCATATTCAAAAGCAATGTTTTGTGGTTGTTAACATAACCTGTAAGAACCTTCTCCCAATATTTAGAACTTCTAAATGGCTTTCCTAGTGGAGTTTTGTTTTATGTTTGAAGGTCCTCAACCATTACATTTGGAAACAAACACTACAGTTTGAATTTAAAGGGAATAAAAAAACCATGGCTACCATTAATTATTTTCTTACATGTTTTCAGAGGAAAACCTGATTTTCTGTAAAACATGCTGTGTTTCTTTCCCTGAACATAGCTTCAGACTCTCCTTTCTTCAGTCCTCTTGATCCCCTTTTCTCAGGACCATTCAGCTTCCCCTTTTTTTTCCATTTTCAAAAGTACCAAATGACCAAATGAAGAGCGTGCGTAGAGTTTCTCTTAGGAGTGCAAGCACTGTCAGAATAATAGGCCTGGGCCCTATGTGGTCGTCTGCTAGGCATCTACTCGTTCATGCTCTGCCTCTCTTTTGAGACATGCATCTGCAACATATTTCTCCTGCCCCTACAGCATTGTTTTTCTTATGAGATGGAACTTGGAGTATTCATAACAGTAGAGCGTAGATTTTTTTGGTGCCTTAGGGTCCTATTTTGAAGTCACTTGTCTTAGCTGAGTCTCCTAACTACAAGGGGACTGCCTGAAATGTCCTGAAGCTACAGCCTGCAGTGTTACACAACAAGAAGCTTTCAAAGCTTCTGTGTTTTTCTGGGATGTCAAGGAAGATAGAAATGTGAAGTGTGACTGGTTGCAGTTTGTCTGCCATGACTGACATCCACGGTCAATTCAGGTATCATAATTTTGTTGTCTTCTGATTGAAAGAGCAGAAGAGCTTTCCCCTGTGTTTTTTTTAGGAGAACCGCTACTGGAGGGAATTTGGATAAAAACTGTTATGCTTCCAATTCTTGGTCTCTTCCACTCCTTTGAGGTGAAAAGATACAGCAGATAGATATCATTCTTCTTAAGTGTACAATGATAGCTTGTTATAGTCAGAGAACAAATTCAGAGTGAATACTGCAGGGTTGCCTAAAAAGTGTGTATATTCTGAGCAGTGAAATGCAGGACTTTGAAGAAGTTGAGGACTGTACAAAAATGAGTGACTACGTAATGGAATGGTAAAAGTAATTTAATAGATAAAGTGGGGTAAACATATATGGGGAAAAAATAATTCTAGCTTCATCTACAAAATGATAAGTTGTGAGCTGAACTTTATTACTAAAGGGCAAGGTCTTAAGGTTGTGATACATAGTTCCAGGGAAATGTCAGCCCAGTGGTTAGCAGCAGCTAGCAAAGACAATAAAATATTACAAATTATTCTGAAAAATCACTGTGCAAGCCACAGCCTAAATACTGTGTGTAGGTCTAGTCCCTTCATCTCAAAAAGGATATGACAGAATTAAATATCCTGGAGATATTTAAAAGATATGTAGATGTGGCACTTAGGGACATGCTTTAGTGGTGGACTTGGCTGTGTTAGATTTACAGTTGGACTCGATGATCTTAAAGGTCTTTGCAGACATCGGTATCTCGCCCTCCATCCCCAACAAGCCTTTTTCTCTTTTTCAGACTGGTAACTCTCAGCATGCTCAGCCATTCTAAATACAGACTGTGAAATCATGAGTTACACAGAGTGAATATGTATCAATCATTCACTTTCTTTTCCAGTTCAGACGTAACATCCATCAAATGAACCTAGCAGGAGCCAGATTAAAACAAGAAAAAAGTACTTGGCTCTTCATGCAACTTGTGGTAGGCCTGTTGGAGCTCACTGGCAAAAGATGTTGCAGTTGCTAAAAGCTGATGAAGCCACAAGGGACAACTGCAAAAGTGCATGAGGAGAAATGTGTTGAAGGTTACTAAGTTTAGAAAACTATATCAGGCTGAGGAAGTCCTCTGAGCTGAAAACAGTTGGCAGTTTGGAGACTATTAAGGAGAACATGCATGTTTGCTTGCCCTGTTGTTTTCCTTTCCCACCTGTACACTTAGGGCCTCTGTGAGAAACAGGATGCTGAACTAGGTGGGTCTTTGATATGACCAAGTAAGGTCATTCATGTGTTTTTCAGTGAAAAATAATGAACTGCCAAAACTTTTTGAAGCATACTTTTTTTGCTAGCAAAATGTATAGTTTGCTATCCCAGAATTTTTCAGAAAAACTGGTGGCTTTTCATGTTTTTTTGATGTCACAATGTTGCCCATTGAAAGTGACAGCTTCCCACACATAGTTTGGGTGCTTGAATTAGTATTGTGTATGGGGAAAAAGAACAAATAATGTTTTTAAAATAATTTCAGGAATGTGAGCAGCAAAAATCAAAAGAAGAAGAAATTCTACAATCATTTCATAAATGGAAAGAAGAGGAAAAAGATAAATTGGCAGATGAAATAGAAAAAGTGAAAGAGATGTTTATGAAAGAGCTTAAGGAGTTATCTTCAAGAAATTCAACATTAGAAAATGTAAGTGATTTAAATTTTCCAACATTTTAAGGTATGAATCCCTTACAGTATATGGTAGTGAACTTCACATATTTGAAACGTGATATAGTCATCTTAGAGGTCTTCTTAATAAAATTAAAAAAAAAAGCTGGATGATAGCCATAATTATATCTTTGTATGCTGATGCTTTATTAACATAATTTCAGTTCTTTTTTAATAGCATTATTTTGGATTAATTAATTATGCCTTCAGCAACTATGTCAGTTTTTTCTTACTCCTCAACTTTTGAGTGCCTGTGTACAGATTAGTAGATATTGTTATTATTGCTGTCTGTTAGGTATCCTTATATTAATATTGTTATAACTGGCATGGAGGGGACTAACTTCTGCATTATAGTCCTGACGGTAAAGCTGCATGTGCTTTCAATACATGCTCTGGAAATGCTTTCCAGAGTTTTGACTAGAAAGAGAAGTATATAAGTATAGGTGGGTCAGAAAGCCACTACGCATAGCATTACCAGAGGAGCTTGTATTTTGTAGCTGGTAGTTCCTGTGTGTATTTGCAAGGTATATTTATGTTAGATGTATATATTAATTATTACATGAAATTTTATAAATGCTGAACATATGAGAAATGTGAGAAGTGTCTGATGCAATCTCTGTGTAGTGATGTTTGAAGTAAATTTTGTGTTAATGACAGTTTTATAAAATGAAATCTGTATACATATTTGAGTCTTCATTTTTTCCCCTTGCTTTTTAGCAACTGTTAGAATTACAAAAGTCCAACATGCAACAAAAATCCAATTTAGGGACACTGAAGGACAGCCAGGAATTTACAGAAGAGAAACCTCAGAGTCCTCAGGATTATCACAATGTGGTTAAACTTCTTGAAAAACAGGTAACACTGTAACATAATGTATCGCTTTTGACAGACTACTTGTATTCTTTTCATTTTTGTAAATCTCTGAGTAGGATTTTAAATAAAGTAAATTTATTTAAATAAATTAAAATAACATTAAAGTAAATTTATTTAAATAAGTTAAGTAAAATTCTCATCCCTCTCAATGTCTAAAACAGCTGTTTTAAAATATTTCCTACTATTTAGTACAATGTCTGTAATGGAAATCAAGGAGTTATTTCCCTTTTCCTTTATAAATAAATCAAATGTTATTTATTTATTGATATTGTCTTATTCTTTATTATTAAATAAATTAAGCTTTACCAAGTATGGTTGCAATTCAAATCCAGAAGGCTCTCATAAACCATTTATGTTGGCTGACCTGTGAGGCCACTTACGGAAAAATTGGAATTTTCTATTTTCCAAGATGGAAAAAAAATGCTAAGAACTTCCTGACAGGATTTGTCAACCTGTGGTTTTTGAATCATATGAAGCACTTGAGCTCATCAGCTTCTGTATCAGGACTATATCATCTGACCAGCACGGATGCTGGTGCTGGTGCAAAGCTGTTGGACAAGCCAAGTCCCACCTATAGCAAAGATTGAGCTAGGAAGGGTCACTGAGGCCAAGATCACTGCATTGCACTAAGACTCACCTGCATGTCCAGGTTGTTCCTATTAAAAAATGAGTTGTGAGGCCTTTGGAAATAGCCACAAACCTTTTTACTCTTCTTTTTTTTTTTTTTTTTTTTTTTTTTTACATTTTTTGACATGCATTATATATGTCATGGTTCTTGAGATGTGAAGGTCTTTGTATACTGCTGGTATTATCCAGAAGTTTGGTCACTTCTGCTCAAAGATGTGGAAAACTTAGTGAATTTTACTTTATAGGGTTTTTATTTCATCAGAAAATTCAGTTCACTCTAAAAGTCATATATTATTACTGGGTTTTATCATCATTATGCAAAACACATTGTTAATGAGTGCTTGAAATGACATTCTTTGGGGGAGAAAAACCCTGCTCTTACTACTCTTGTTGTTAATACACAGAGATGTATCAAAATACTTGTGTATTTATCATTCACAGTCACTATACAAATCAAGGAGCAGATACGTAGTTTCTAGAGTGATTGGTAAGAAGATCACACTCATGTATAAAACATGCTGATGAGTGTTCTAGGTCTTAAGTATGGGGTCACTCAAGTTTCATATCATCAATAATTTCAGTATTTAGAAAAATAAAGCTGCATATGTTGAACTAAATGTTAATGTGTTATTAACAGGGATTAATATTGATTTCCTCTATGCAGGAAAGTAAGTGGACGTCTAGAATACAAACCCTTCATCATGACCACGAGACAGAAAAGTCCCTGGTAAGTGGCACAGCAAACGACTTCAACTAAAAGGAGACTTTTTTTCTTATTTTCTTGCCTTTTCAGTAGTTCTTGATACACTATAATACCTCTGTTGGACTAGAAAGCCTAGGTCTCAAGAGTTTAGAAGAGTGAGTCCTCTTAGATGTATTTCTTATCTCTGTATTTCTGTTATGCCACAATCTTGAAGTTTCAGTTAAGGCCAGAGAAACGGAATTTATCATTTAAGAATCCAACAGACGCCTCAAACTATATCTCTGTTTTGAAGAGATCACAACTAATTCTGTGAGCACTGTATTATACAGTGTTTTCTGTGTTATGTGAATATGCTGGATAGTTGAGATATGACTTGCCAACATGTAGCTTTCATCTACCCTGTACCTTCTGCTACCATGGACCTATGGCACACATCTCAATCTTTTTTTCTTTTTTCTATCATGTCTCTGCTGCTTCTTCTGTTAATAGCTTTCTAACACAGAATCTGTTCAGCTTTTCCAGGAGAAAACACCATAGCATTTTATTTTGCATCAGTTTATATATTTTACTATACAAAGCTTTATTCCTCAGATTTTTTTTTTATGTCTGCATTTCTTTTTAATCTCTTTCCTGCTTTGTTTCTCTTGCTTCTTCTCCTTTCATTTTCCTTTCATCTGCGTGACCATGTAAGAACTGAGCAGATCATAGTGGTCTGACCAATGCTTCTCCTCCTCTGGCAAGAAAGCAGTGGGGAGGAACCATGGAACATTCCCCAAAAAGGATGTAGTTAATGATACACCCACATACAATGCAAGAATAGAATAAGGGAGGAGTAATGTAAGTATTACTTTTGGGATGGTGCACCTAAAATATTGTTCAGTTTCTTCTGCATTCAGAGCTAATATACTAAGTTTAACAGGCAAATTCACATCATACCACCTTAAAATGTTAGACACTATTTATAACCAAAATATTTTCATAGAGTTTTATGCTTTTTCCTGCAATCTTATTTTTAGGCAATCTCAGCAATGTGTTTGTATTTCCCTTTCTTTGTATTGAGATTTAGGTAAATAAATACACTTCCCTGTGTAAATAAAAAGTGATGCAGATGACTCTTTTGTAATATATGCAAGTCCCAATGAAATCACAGGAGACATGTTTTTGCTGGAAAAAAAGTGTTAAAAATATTTAAGCATGACACTTGCTTGTTTAAACTTTATCGCATTAAAATATTTTGTGTAATATTAATATGAAATTACTTTTCTTCTGTTTGCTTTCTAGCTACTGTCACAGATTGAAAAGCTTAAATTATCAGTGAGAGAAGACCTGAATAAAAATAATACCTTTTACAAGAGGAGGATAGAAGAATTGGGGCAGAGGCTTCAGGAGCAGAATGATCTGATTATTACTCAGAAGAAGCAGGTCTGATTTGTGAAGCACACTATGTTTCAGAGAGCATAGTACATAGAGAAACATTTTACTAGCATTTGGTCTTTGATATTTGCATAGTTAATATTCCCAATTTGTAGTAGTATTGCTGTAGTATTTTGGTTACACTTTGGAAATTATGTTGATAAATAAGAATAGATCTGGAAAGAGACACAGGAATGTAAACCAGGAATTAAAACACAATTTAGAAGGAAAGGATTAATAAAAAACCAAGTGTTTTTAAGAAGTTCAACACAAAGTTAAAAGATGACTAGATTGCAGTAACCAAAGACCTCTCCAGATGAAAAATTTCTGATAGTTAACAGGATTTAATCTGCCACAAAATAATCATAATGAAATCTAGCGTTTGAAATATGAAAATACATGACTTCTCACACTAAAAATAAAGTATCATATTTATCACTGGGAGAATAATTAATTAAATTATTACCATATGAAATTTAACAAGAGCAAGTGCCACATTCTCTACTGGGACATTGTAATCCTGGTAATATGTACAAACAGGGAGATGAGAGGCTGCAGAGCAGCCCCATGGAAAGAGATCTGGGGGTTTGGGTTGATGGCAAGTTGAATATGAGTCAGCAGTGTGTCCTGGCAGCCAAAAGGGCCAACTGTGTCCTGGGATGCATCAAGCACAGCGTAGCTAGCCAGTTGAGGGAGGTGATTGTCCTGCTGCACTGCACTGGTGCAGCCCCACCTCAACTACTGTGTGTGGTTTTGGGTGCCTCAATACAGTAAGGACATCAAACTATTAGAGTGTGTCCAGAGGAGGGTGACCAACGTGGTGAAAGGTCTCGAGGGCAAGACTTAGGAGAAGTGGCTGATGTCACTTGATTTGTTCAGCTTGGAGACAAGAAGAGGGGACCTCATTGCAGGCTATGACTTCCTCAAGGTGGGCAGCAGAGGGGGAGGTGCTGGTCTCTCTGGTGACCGATGACAGGACACAAGGGAATGGAGTGAAGCTGCATCAGGGGAAGTTCAGATTGGACATTAGGAAAAGGCTGTTACTGAGAGGCTGGTTGGTCACTGGAGCAGGCTCCCCAGGGAAGTGGTCATGGTACCAAGCCTGTCAGAGTTCAAGGAGTGTCTGGATGATGCTCTTAGTCATATGGTTTAGTTTTAGGTAGTCCTGTGAGGATCAGGAAGTTTGACTTGATGATCCTTATGAGTCTCTTCCAACTTGATATAGTATATGATTCTATGAAATTATTTGTTTGGAAATGAATTGTTTTTTCTTAAAAATACACTTTTGTTCAAACATAACTATAGGTGTTTTGAGGTGATCAGTGGGTGAAGATCTGGGTGGTCTGGAGTTTAGACTATAGCATGATTATGCAGTCCTTACAATCTATTCCTCTATTAGATGGTGGTTCATTACAAATCAACATCTGATTTTACACATTTTTCTTGAGATTAATGTTAAACCTATACTTAAGTGCTTAAAGAATTGGAAAGATAAATAATAGCTTTTACATCTCCACCTTAATGAATTTGATAGCTAGAGCAATAGAGGACTTAATCTGAGACAAATTACTTGCAATGAAGTGACCTTTTAAAACAAAACAGTATGACCACAGATGTAAAATAGGTTCAGAAGGATCCGAGTTTGGTGTTTGTGAAATACAATTGTGAAGATCTACATTCTCAATACCTGCAAACTGGAAGGGCTTGAGAAATAACTTAACACTTTTTTTGTAAAATCCAAATTGAATGGATAATGAATTGAGGCACTACTGGCTATAACCAAATGGGTAAAATAAAAGAGGACCAGGGTCCAATGTCATGTGCCACCTTCAGCTGACATTGACTGTGTGTCTGTGTGGTTTGGGTTTAGCTTCTATTTTGGGAATTGGGAGTGCAGAAAAATTTTTTTAATGATACAGGTTTCACAAGTTTCCTGTTTTCTTTAATTACAGCCAGCTTATTTCCTCTACATGCTCAGTTTTATTCAGTGTATGTCTTTGGGTGTCAAATAGACAAAACTGTAGAGCAGGCAGGAGAACTGTTCATATATTTGAAATCAATGTGTAATTAAGTGTTTCCCTGGAGTGGAGCTAGACTTGCAAAATTGAACATGAATTGCTGAAACAGAAAGTATTTAAACTGAAAGTGCTGAAGTGACCCATAAGCCCACTCTCATTTCATTTTATAGCTTGTATTAACAGGGTGTACAAAGCGTGAGTTCACATAAGACAGCAAACAGAATTAAGTCTTCAACATTCATTAAGCATGAATGAAATATGCATTAGGCAGTAGAGTTCCACAGAAGTAGTATTTTTCTTCCCAAATATTAAACAATAATTTATGTTATGGAATATTACTGAAACTAGGTATTTTGTACTAAACGTGCATTTCTAGATATTGATTGTTTACACTTGTAACTATTCATGTATCTGTCTTTTTCCCTTTTAGATAAAAGAATTGTCCACAAGATCAGTTGCAAGCATTAAACCATATGATGGTAAGTACAAACTGTGAGAAAAAGCAGATTTTGTTTCTGATTTCAGCAGCTCGGCTGAAACAATTGTTACAATTCATTAACAAATAGACATCAACTTTACTAACTAACTATTCAAATCAAATCAGTACTGGCAATTTATTTGTGTTTCACAGGGTGCCTACCTGTTTCCATGCCATGATTTTCAGAGTTCATGTTTTGCAGCTGTAAGGACTTCTAATGTACAATGTTGATTGCTTGAGTAGTGAAGAGATGTGATATATAGCACCTCTATTTTGTATTATGTAAACAACTTTTGGCTTTGCTTTATGAAGTGTAATTTTAATTGTTTTTTCATGCTTGACTGTCTTTAGGCTGCAGAACTCACGAAAGGGAAAATACTGAAAGAGTAGACAAAATTGATTAATTTGTCAGTTAAAATACAGATGTTCAAAGAATTTTAAGAACCCTGATATTTTTGTCTGTGCAATGGTTTAACATCTGAAGTCCATTACAAATAGTTAAACCTCATAATACAGTTCTGGGATGCAGTCCTGCACCACAAACACCCGTATAGCTGATGCTGCAGTTGCAGTGACTTGAAATAAGTTTATTGCCATAGTGATGATGACAGCTGGATTAATTTTAATCCCAGTTTGGAAACCATCTTGCTTTATTAGCAGGACATAGGCTTGAACTGCATCTAACAGCAGGAAGTAGGTTTGAGGAGCGCATAGTAACAGTATGGTTGTATGGCTTCTCAACTGGAGCTGGTCTTATTTAGCCACACTGAAGCACAAGACCATGGCACACAAGTGAATTTGCTCCTAGGCCCCAACCTGCTCTGAGGAATGTAGAATTGAAGTGATAAATCACTCCACAGCTACACTCTGTGCATGTTATGTATAGGGTTTGCACTAATTGATATGAAATGTGGATGCAGCTGATCCTCTTCCGGGAATACAAGTGTCAATTAGGCTAGACTTGACTAAGTAGCTTTGGGCCAGGGCTTTTTCCCTGGGACACAAAGACAGCATACAGACGTGACCAAAGATCATACAGACGTGATGATCTGACTAGTGCAGCTTCACATTCCAGTTCAGTGACATTTTAATTACTAGTTTCTTGTCCTAGTTCTAGAAATATTAAAAATGTTAAGCATATCTAGAGACATACTTTTATGTTGTGAAGGACCAATTTTTACTTTATAAACTACGTGTTTACAATAATACACAAAAAATTGCATAATTTATAAATATGATTAAATATTGCAACATTTATGAATCTGTGTCTGTCTGTTACTGTTTACTGTAATACATTTACATTATTTTTTACTTCTGTGCTATTTTAGTGAACACTACCGCAGAGCATCTTGAAGAATCTAAACCACGTCTACCAGTGGTGCATGGTAAGTTTTTTTTGATAAGTCCAGATCCAGTACTTTCAAATCTAACACTCTGTCTTCTCAAATGTGTTGCTAGTCAAATCATAGCTGTAAGAGTAGTTATACTGCAAGAACGTAATTTGAATTGCTTTGCTGTATGTCAGCATGGGAAATTCCTATGAAGTAATTGTAAAGATGCATTATTGAAAAGAGTAAATGAAAATCAAAATAATTTGAGAATATTTCCTAGCACTTGTATGGTATTGGAGCACTTTAAGGTAAATTAAACTAATTGAGGAAATAAAATTATGTTTTCTTCTAGAAAATATGCTTTTTTTCTGCTATATGCATACACTGGATAGGTATATGCATAAACTGGAATTTGTATAGAGAAAAATGTGGAGATGTTTTTTCTAATTCTTGAAAAACTGTATTTTTCCTGTGATTTCAAATGTCAAGGAAGAAAAACACACAAGACACAAGCAAAATAGGCAGTCATTCCATCTAGATAGTTCTTCCAGAGTATATCTGTAGTTACATATACATTATTTAGTTATTGCAATAGTTATAGTTATTGTAATAGTTATTAGTTTAGTTACTGTGGCATTGCAATATTATTTAGTAGTGGGGGGAAGCGATGAACCTCCATTTATATTGTTTGGTGCTTTGTGAAAATAGTTTTCACTTTTTTCTCAGTATGCAAAGTATTGTTACCATACCAATATTCTGCAATCAATTAATTCTTTACTTTCATTTCATTTACTTAGGAAAGTAATAGGAAAAATGAACTTTGAGCAAGTAAAATGCTTAAACGTTAAACCCATTTTATTAACTATTTGAGTTATTGAACTATAATTAAATAATGATTTTTTAATTATTATTTCTCTTAGTTTTAAAAACCTGTCAAGGGGAGAGGAAATTGAATTTGTCTAAGAAAAATGTATGGAATTTTTCTTTTTCAACAAATTCAGAAAGTTCTGAAAAGGCATATGGGGAGAAGGAGCAGTATACAACAGAAGCTTTAGATAACTTGATGACAAATGAAAAGCTGATAAATATGAAGTGCTGATTTCAAAATATTTGTTGTGTCAAGAATTATTAAACTAATGAAAAGAGATTTTTATAATATGGCAAAATTATTTTAATAATACAGGGGTTTCTTACTAATCTATGCAACGTAGCCTTTCATTGCTAGAAGCTTTAAAGTGAAACTATATAGATGAAATGTTGTTGGGTGGAGAAAAATAATAATATATTAAGTATAAATTATTAATGATAGTATTTTAAAGAATCCTTTTTTTTTAATTTACACCAGCTTCACTGCACCAACAGAGTAGTGCTGGTTCTAGCTAAGAATCTCACAGCAAGTGGCTTAGCTATTGCCCCGAATTTAAGGAAAGAGTATTTTGAAGAGTATTGCTGTGAAGGTCGTACACACCAAGCTTGTCAGGCACTGCTTTTTTAGTACATTTACTTTCATTTGGACTGAGGAGGAAAACAGTTCTATGAACATGAGTATTTTTTGTACTCTGACAGTTTATATCAGCTCGTTCAGATCTTTCCTGATTTCTTGCTGCTCCAAATAAAACGTTTCTGACATCTTATGACACTTCTCAAGATAGAAAAGGCTGTTCCTGCCACTGATATACAAAAGATTCACTATCAATTTATTATGAAACTTCAAGGAAGGTGTTTCCTTCAGATTCCTTTGCTGACGATTATTTTATTTATCTCTGCAGGTCTCTCTCTGTCTGTCCCCTTTCTTACCTTCTGGATTTCTTTTAAATTTACCCTACCTAATTTCTGGATATAAAGGTTAGCAGAAATTATAGTCTTTCCCAAAATGTTCACAGCTTCGCAAGGGATTGACTTACGTACTGCATTAAGACATCATGGCTGCATCTCATGCCGTTATGAAAATGAAAGTGCTTGCTGCTATCTTCTGTACAGAAGTTTACTTAGCACAGAGCATCTCTGAAATCACAAGAGCTATAGTTTTCCTACCAAACAATTGTCTGCATATGAAATGTCTTCCTTTTCTTTCTTTTTTTTTGTTTGAAAGGAAAATTAATTCTGGAAAAGGCTCTCTTATGTGAGCTTAAGTACACTTTTCAAAGTTGCCTGGAAGCTTTTGCATCTTAAGATTAGTTCTGCACATCTTAAATCTGTACTATAAGATACCTGATTTGTAATTTAGGTATCTTAGGTATAAAGAATAACTGAGTTAGCCTGGTGCTTTTGTTTTCTTGTTCCTGGTTTCTTGGGAGAGTTAATAATCTGCCTTGAATGCCCTCCTGGCTGACCATTCTTCTCTCAGTTTCTAAGCTAGCTGTAGGGTTTTGTGCAGATGTAACTTAAGACTTATCTTCGAAATTACTTAAGTCTCACAAAAAAGCAATGGATTCATTAAGATTTTTTTTTAATCATATTTTAAAATCAGACTTTGGATCCTATATTACTCTTGAAATGTTGATGCTTGTTCAATATTTAATCTCTGTTAGGTCAATAATAGTAGGTGGAATTGAAGACAGTAGTTAAAAGGCACAGACAGACATTGATTAGATTGTCCATTAAAACCTATGACTCAGTCTTCAAACATGGTGTGGACTAAGGCTCAGCTATCATTAGTGATATAACTGAAGCATCTGAGGAAAATGTAGTCAAAGTCTTCCTAGATAGTTAACAGAGAAAAGGTGCACCTTCAGAATTTGGTTCAGCCAAACTAAGATCTGAATTGCTCTTTGAAGTTGCCTGTGTCTCTTCCTTGAATGTAGGAGTCTGAGATGACTAGGCTTCTAACTTAGAGGCCTCAGGTAAGTGTCAAAAACTTATCATATTTAAGACTATTGGTTTAAAATTAATATTTATGCTGCTTATGTGCAGTATATGGCTTCCCACTGATTAGTTAGGAGAAAAATATATGAAGTGCATTGATTCAAAGATGATGGTCAAAATTACAGATATCACAGATTAAATCTGGCAGCTCTTTGGATGTGAAATTTGAGTATAAATTAAAGGAGGAGATAATGACTGTAGCCATGACTTAGATTCCTTACATCTTTAAGATTGCAGCAATTTACAGCAAACAAGTTTTACATTTCACCCTTGGTTTTCATATTGCAAGTGCAAAGTGCTTACTGTAGGTGATGCTCCACTGTAGATAATTGTAACACTTCTGTTCAGGCTAAAAGTACTTTAGCATTTCATAGTTTAGAGTAAATAGGCAGGATTTCTCCTTTAAATACTGTCCAGAAGACTGCTTTTCCAATAGTATTGTCAGAATATTTTTGTTTTTTTTAACTAGTAGGTAAGAACAGACAAATAATATATGATATGCTTGAAATATATACAAATATATAGGTTTGGAACTGAGGCTGGCTGATGGTTACAATGAGGATGTGTCTAGAATTCACCACTGGACTAGGTATAGGATTTAGCAATAGTACTGTTTGGTTAGGGAAGGGCTGTGTGGGAGGACTGAATGAATTAGATTTGGAGTTAAAGTGGTTCATGCCAGCAGCAGAAGTTGATTTATGGCTGGGTCTGCAAAGGACTGGTATCACACAGAAACATCTGGTTATTGCTGAGCCAAGGTTTTACAGGGATCACTGAGTTTGGGTTAGGGTTAGGGTTAGGATTAGGCAGATATCGATTGGAAAATGAGAGTTATGGCTGAGTTAAGAAGGATCAGTTAAGCAAGGTAGCCACAGCAGAGCCTGACTGAATAGGTTTAAGAAGTTGAAATTTATCTCTGTTTCATAGCCAAGAAAGGGGTGGAGATGAGAGCCAGAGTTCAAGTTGTGTCAATGAACAAAGTAGAGTTGAGGTTGCATCTCAGCTGCAAGACTGATGTAATCTCCTGTTCTACTAGTACTCTGGTAGTCCAAAGCAGGTGATCTGCTGGAGCCCAACATGCCTCCTGCCTTGCTTCAGCCTCCCAGGATCCACTTCCAGTAAGGCAAGGACACAGTTTGGGTGTTCATCTGGAACAGGGAACAGAGAAGTGACTAGGAGCAAGTACTATATATCTAGGTGTGAGTCCAAAAGGGAAGATAGCAGTCTGTCTAGGTTCAACACTCAGGCTACGATGAAAGTGAGGAGTAAGATTCTGGCCAGCAAGGTGTGATGTTGAAGATGTTGATGTAGAGCAGCATCCACTCAGGTCAGCTGAACTAGATTTAGGGCTGATAATTGAGAGGAACGTAACTGGCTCTACTTGTCAGAAGTTGTAGTGATTATTTGTTTAAGGCTAGCATTGGATTGTGGCTTGGTGAGATTTGGGGCAAAAAGATGAACTAGAGAAAGCTGCAATAATTCAGAGTAGTTAGGATTTTAGTCTGCATCAGCAGCATTGTTTTAGATTTTGAAGATAGCAAAGACTGCTTTGTACAGATTTCAGGTCTAGTTGGGTAATCAGATTTAGATGATTCCTGAAAATGAGCTTGGTAATATTTAGGTGCTGCTGATTTCAAGGATGTGCGCAAAGGTAAGAGCTGAGAGGTCTGATCAGATGGCTAGAAGCAGCACATCTCTGGTGAACATGAGGAGAGGACTCCTTAAGGGGGGAGATCTTTACACCTGTCTATAAACCAGAGGAGTGGTGAATCAAGCCTCTTCTTCTTACATTTGATTCCAACATGATGTTTAAAAAATACCTCTTGGCGTATGCGTAAGAGAAAGAGAAAAGGCCCATTTACGTTGGAGAAGTTGATGTTTCCAGATGTTACACTCCCCCATGTCTTAGCATTGAATCTCCTCTGTTGTCATGCAGTGAACAACAATATTACACATAACAGTAATACATTTTGGTTTTGCTCTTGCAACCACTCGTTTGCTGATTTTTAACTTCCTCTGTTTCTGGTATCTTCAGGAAGAGAAGCACGTACCTTTATGCCAGATCAGCAGACTATTTTCAGGTCTGAGTTCTGGGGATTGGGCTTTTCCTGTTAAATTAAGTTACTTGACAAGAGCTTGTGCAGAGATGTGTCAGCTCCTTTAAGCAGATTGCATTTGAGTAAAGTACAGGTAAAACAAGTATAGATTAAATCCAATTACACAGCAACTGGCTTACTGTCTAGTGGGTCCGACCAAGAAACATGGAGGCCTTGATGCCCCTGCAGCTAAATTAAATCACTCCAGAACATCTCATCTGTGCTTCAGGCTCTGTCCTCCAAAACAGGCTCACTGCAGGCTTTTGGGAATGATCCCAAACTGTGCCTGAACATTGTTTTGGAGAATGTTAGTTGGAGCAGGGCAACAGTGTGCCACGAGCAAGAGCGTGAAGGATCATGTTCCAGTGCCCAGGAATGTGCTGGCCACTGTTAAATTTTACAGCCTTAGAGACTGAAAGATCAGAAGCCTATTTGTCAGTCAGTCTCTTAGAGTTTTGCTTTTTTAGTGTTTCCATAAGAGATATTGACATTTGCATCTTGTTAGTATCTTGTGATGGTTGAAGAAGTGTTTTTTTTAGAACTTATTACTTAGTGCAAATCTTCTAAGTCTTGTAACCTGCTTGGAAAATCAGCTGAGAAAATCCGCAAGTATGGAAAGCATGGAGAGAGCAGCAGCCATACCCAAGCATTTACAACACCAGTTTCAGTCTCTGTCACATGGGGAATATTTGAGATGTAACAGTGAGTGTCAGTTAGCTCCAAGTGCTCATTTCATTGTGATTACCCACCACAGTGCCTCCATGTTTGTATGTAATTGTACAAGAAGTGCTGGAGAGCAGGCATCTTTACTGCAAAGTCACTTCCTCCCCTTCTACCTACACAGTGGAACAACGATTTATGGTGCCAAAGGTTTTTTATGAAGACTGGGGCAAATGTATGTTGGCCCAAAATATTGGCCAATAAATTGTTTTCTCCTATACTGCTAATAGTTGAATGCTGAAAGTATAGTTTTCACATTTTTCCCTTTTTATCATAAACCCTAGAATGAATTAAAATTGTAGTTTTCATTGAAATTTATTTATGGAAGGTGAATAGTAACATTTTTAAAAATAAAGTTTTAATAGTCTACATAGAAGCATTTTCATGCATCTCTTATATCTGAAGTCTATAAAGTTGTAAATAAACTGTACTCTGTCTTCATTTATATAAAGCAAATTGTACCTGACAGCCTATAGGATGATAATTTCAATGTGTTTAGGAAGCTGTTTTCAGCAGAGGACATCTCAAGATTTCTTTAAAGCACATGACAATACTGAATCTCACTATATTGGAGTGACTGAATATTTTTAAAATTGGTTTTACTGGAAATTATCATATATAAAAAATTTCTCTGTCTTGCATGTATGGACCCAGTACTTAATAATTCTCTGCAATTATGCGTGGACATATTTTTTCCATATATTTTTCAGGATTTACATGTCTGTCCGTTTTACTTGCCTTTTGTAAACTTTTAGTATCAAATTGCACATAAACAATATTTTAAAATAAATTTTAAAACTAAAGTGCTTCTTATGAGAAATGAATGACAGTATTAATTTACTTAATCCTAGGTAGCCTTGTCATTGTAGATGCCTAAAAACATCCGACCTGGCCTCTGTGTGCCATGCCGGAAGGGCATGGGTTTTTCTATAGTTGTGTGACAGATCAGCCAGCTATGTGCCGATGGCTTAAAACTCTGATATATCTGAGGTGACACTAGATACCCATGTTTGGGCAACTGAATCTCTTCTGAAGTGACTATTGTATTAGGGTCTCCTCTACAAAAATGTACCACCAAGGCAGTGAAGAGTCACGTTGCATTGGGTTTGTGATTGTTAAGGTTGTCAGCAATCAGGAAAACTGACATCAGTGTGTTTTTTTGCCTAACTTTCCCACTCTGGACCTTGACCTTCTTCTGTCCTGTTTGTCTGGTGTTCCTGTTCTTCCTCGTTATTAGAGCAGGCACCCTTGGTGCATATGCTGGAGCCCATAGAGGAGCTTTCAGAAGAGGAAAAAGGTAATGGTTGATTCAGCTCAAAATGTAGTGGCATGTGGTTTTTGAAAATAAAAATGTCAATATTATTTACCTACAATAATACAATACCTACAGTATTTTTTCACTGTATTTGAGTATGCTTAATGTGATTTGGGTGGGAATATTCCTTGTTTGTGTCAGTCTCCTGTTTGCTATTGGTGCTTGTAAATATTACAGTTTCCTTATCCAAGTTCAATGTTTTTATGGAAAGCTGGCTAACTTTAAAGTGGACATATTCCATATGTCTAAAGGCACTTGAGCTAAGCAGAGCAAAAAATGTTTGATGGGGAATACCCCCCACTAGGAAATTTTTGGTTCTGATGCTATTGCAATGTATGTTCACTTCTTTTTCAAACTCTGTGTAAGGTGAAAAAGAGTTCCAATAGAAGAAGGAAGTCGGTGGTGGAGGTTGAAACTGCCTAGTTGCATAGATGCACCAAAGATATTTTTGCAAGTAATCTAAGTTATGCCTACCTCTAAGCAACTACAGCTCCAGCCAGGGTTGTGCAATTCTGAATGAAACTACGTAGCCCAGTGTTGGCAGCTGTCCTTCTGCTTCATCTGAGGAAGGCTTGGAGAAGGCCACATCTACAGTGACAGAAGAGAAAGCATTGGTTCATCCTGCATGCTATTCTTCTCCTGAAGAAGGCTAACAGGACTTTAGACTAAACGCCAAATAGCTGAATAGCATAATAATCTGTACTGTGTGCAAAAATCAAAATCAGTCTTGAACCTTATAGCCAATGGGTTTAAATTTTGAGGAATGATGCTGTTTCGAAAACAAAATTGTCATTTGAATACATCTGTGCGTGAGAGGTTTCCCCAGGGAAAATCCAGTGACTCTGAACAATCTGAAATAAAGACTGCTCGCATTTTTGCCGTTCTTTCTGCCGTTCTTTTTCTTGCTTGCCATCTTCTCTCTTGATGGATTGTCCTTGATTCTTCTGCTGTGCCTAAAGGCATGGCCTGAAGTACAGAAGAGAGAAAGAATGCAGTCTGAAAAGATAGACCAAGATTTTTTTGTTTTCAGTGACAGCTGTTTGTAAGGGAGAGTGTGAAAATTCTTGACTTGGCAGATTATTTCATAGGATTATGTAGAAGCTGAGACAGTGGACCAGACTTAAGGTCCCTTGTCTCCAAAGTTGTCAAACCTAGTAGTTAGTGTTTTTTTTAAAAACAAAAATGAATAAGAAAACAGTTTCTTAAATAGTTGGCTCCAGTAAAGAGGATTTGGCTTGAGTTAATTAGCAAGAATTAATATTGTCATTAATTAGGATAATGCTGGATAGTCTTGTTACCCATATTAGTATGTAGTAATTATGAATTTTAAAATTATTTTAGATGGATCTATCTTATTGTAAGGATTAACATCTGAAAGGAACAGGAGTTTCAGAAGGCTTCTTGGAGCCTTCCACTTTAAAATGTCTCATGTCTTGGCTTTGTGGGAAAATTTCATACTGCATAATGTACCTTTTCCTGATCGGGAATAGTCTGATAGTTCTACATTTCTGCACTGACCAGCAGTTTGCCTCTTCTAGGACTCATCTCTCCAACCAAATGACTTTTAATCCCACCTCTGTCAGGGACTGAATTCCCAAAGCCAGTTAAGATTTCAGCCAGATTCTCTCCTCTTCAACACAGATCTCTTAGTATGGTAGCTGGACTCTTTCTCAGTTTTGGTTATCTATAGTTCTTTCCCAGATCCATTGGAAGCCACTGCCTCAAAACAACCTAAATACCATTTGTGTATCTTGAGGCTTTTTTGGGTCCTCTTTAGGGTGCTTATCTTTCCCTTAAAGAAAAATGAAAACTAAGTAGAACTGCTTTTTAAGCAATCATTGTTTAAAAAGAGGGAAAGTGGCACATCTGTTTTGAAAAACAAACAAACATTTGAAAGTCACAATATGGAATTATTCCTTCATTTATGTCCTTGTCTGTGGGCTGGCAAATGACTCTGCTGCCCTGAAAGGCATACTGGAAAGAGCCAAGCTCCTGCCAAAGATTTACCTTTTATTTCAGGGGGGCAAAGTTGGGGTGTGATTTACAGTATGCTTTCCTGGGATGTTGTATACCCCTCTGTATATGCTTTGCCAGCTTTGCTGACCGCTGCCAGGCAGAAGCAGCTACCATGGTTGCGCTGATAATTGGTTCACTTGGTATAAGTGGCATTCACTATAACTTTGTCTTGCAAGAGCCACGTTACAGGCAGGTTCCGAATGGGTATGCTTGCTGCTTTACTCCCCTGTATGACCTATAACACTTTGGCCTAACTTAAATGTCAGTCTTTAATTGAGGTGGAAGAATCCGTCTAGATGATTCTTTATTTCTTGCATAAGAGTTCATGTC